AACAAATTAATAAAAAAAGAACCATTTTGTCTAATAATGATTAACACCAAATTTAAGGAGATGTTGTGAAGATGGCTCCGGAAAATAGGTAATCTTTAGAATTATACTAATAATTTGGAAAATTTTAACCCCAGTAAATCGTGATAGTGGTTCTGATTTATCGTGGCATGCATCCATTAATATAACTTTCTATCTTCTCTAATTTTAAAACTAAATTGGAGACCGCCTTTTTCCATATGTATAAGTCCAATGACACTAATATTTCTTGTTAATTTAACTCTTTTAATATTTATACAACCTAATTAAAGCATTACCCGAACATGTTAAACTCTATTTGAATTTTTAACATTTTGAAAGCCACAGTTAACTTGGAATGAGATGTGCACCCTCCCATAGTGGTCTTTATATCACATTCCGTGATTCAGTAAACTCTGAGTCTATTTGGTGGCTCATTCTCTGCTTGACTCTAGTATGAGGTCTTGCACCATTGCAAATTACTTCTACAAATCTACTTGAGTCAAACACAGTTTTTGGATCTAGCTCTTTGATAGAGAAGAGCTAATTAAATGATAAACTTTAGTGTAAATATTGGATCCAACCTCGCCTTTTGATGTCCAAAACTCATAATATGGTTGAAATCCTCATTGCTATAAATCATACTTGACTTTATCAAGTATTAAGGATACTTAATTTCTCTATTGCAATTATGATAATTGAAACTTAGTCTTAGATGGGTAAGTCAGAAGCTGAGAAGTTGTTTACATGAAAAATTCAAGACAACTCAAGAACTCCTTAGTTAAGTATTTTGCACCCGGATGTAGTCTATTATACATACCAGAACCTTATAATGTCAATACCCTAAATAACATATTGATAAAATAATTCATTAAGCGTAGTTAACATCATATGGAATTATTGCTTAAAAATACTAAATTGAGTCATATATTATTTGAAAATAAAATTTACAGGCATACCGTAAAATTGTAAATTCCATAAAGATGCACTATTGTGTATTTATCGAACACAAAAAATAGATCCTACATGTATCATGTACGAAAGACAATTACCTTAGATACCATCGATTCTTATAATTTTTTATATGAAATGCATGAATTGAATATGCATATATCCATATAAAATTGATAATTAAGAGACTTAATTACATTCTACAAACGGAAATTAGCTGTCTCAAATTGAGTTGTTTAAATCTCTTCCAGCTCAAAAATTAGAACCACCTAATAGCCAAGTGATACACATACATATCTTATAATTCACTATAATTTACACATCTAATTGCAAACATACAAATTTAAACCTAAAAAAAGTTACAAATGATCAAATTCTAATGAGTACAGGAGTCGACTTGAAATCAACCCGCTTTAAAAGAAACAAACTATCTCAAATTGAGAGACTTAAATCTATTCCAACTCAAAAATAAAAATTGTTTGGCTTATCTGAATTGATCAAACTAGAATAAATGATATACAACTAACTTACAAAAAAATCATACCACTTATACAATACAAAATTTAACAAAAAATTTACAGGCATACCTCCAAATACATATATATTTATAAATTTAATGCCTAAATTTTAA